GGGGGGCGGGGGGGGAGGGGGGCAAAGCAGAGCCAAGCCTCGGAGCGCGTGGGCAGCGGACAGCCCTGTCCGCTGCCCACGTGTTCCGCTGCTTTGCTTCCTCTCCCTGGTCTGCTGGAGACCAGGGAGAGGAACGCCCCATTCGTAACTGTGGATCCGACGTTAGTCGGATCCGGGTAACTCGGGGACTGCCTGTAGTTGTTTTCCGAGTTAAGGCAGTTGCTCCCTAGTTTGTTTGCTTGTAGAAGTTCGGTACTCTGTCTGCAACTTCTAAAACCAGTGACTGTGTCCTCACCACATTAGTCTGTCGGCAAAGGTGGAGAATAGTTGCTTTGTCCAACCGTCAAGTTAGGCTTGCCTTGCTGTTTTTAGTGGATTTAGGACATACATGCATGCATGCACTTTCTCAGAGAATCATCTGTGCCGAAGACTCTCTCTCTACCTGTGTCTCATGACATAGCACTCATGGAGCCTTCTGGCTGGTGGAGTACTATGTCCCAGGAAAGCATCCTTCTAGTAGAGGGGAGTCCTTTGGATAGTGCTTCCTCAAGTCCCACAAATTAATGTTCTGTTGAACGCGTGAGTTGGCTGGGGCACTGAAGTGCTCTGCTCAAAGTCAGTACTTTGCTCATGACCCACCATCAAACTTCATTGCTTATGTTGGAGCAATGGCTGCAAACTTTTGTGCAAAGTTTTCTGGGACAGTACATGCTCACCACATTGGCAGCCTCCTCTTCCTAGGCCCACAGACAAGCAAGGGTATATATGACCCTGATTATCCCTCCATAAAACCTAAGCACCTGATTCATTGGGAGCCCCATGAACTTTAACGTCAAGAACTGGAATAATATTTAAATAGGCATGGTTCCTGGGCTAAGTGCACTCTAATTTCAAAAGCATAAAGCAACCTAGGAACCTTCTGATCACAGGATTAACTAAATAATGTGATGGGGAGCAAACACAGAAGTCCCTTTGGACTTGTTCCCGAGTGTGCTGATCATGCCACCCACCTTCTTGCTCTCTGGGGTTCCCCAACACGCTGTCCTGCTGTACCAGATCCTCTGGTTTCCCCAGACAAGGCACAGAGTTGGGGTAACCATTTGTCATTCCCCTCCCCCTACAGCAATGGAGACACTGAATCACTCCAGCTCTGGCAGGACTCAGTTCTAAGGCTCAGCCAGAAAGCTAACTCCCAAAAGGGATAAAAAAACTCACAAATCCATCTTATCTGTCTTAGAGAGATATGCATAGTGGTTTCTCTCCTCTCTCCTGACAGGTGATTATTATTAATACTGGGCTTGATCATAAAAAGAAGTTTTTTATTACATATAAAAAGGTAGAATTTAAGTGGTTGCAAGTGAAAACGGTTAGCTTACAATAAGTTACTGCATTAAAATAAATAGAAAACTCATAGCTAGTTCTAATCCACTAAGAAATGTGTTACATGCAAATTCTTACCCTAAACAGTTGTTCTTATTATAGAAGCTTCAAATCAGAGTTGTTCTTTTACTCTGATTTGGGTCTAGAATATTTTTTTTTTTTTTAAATGTATCCTCTTATGGTGTGCCAAACAGCTTCCAAAGCCATTACTCAATTTTACTCGACATTACTTTCAAGTAGATTACTCGACTACTCCCGTCCCCCTACCTTGCTGCCTCTGTATCAGCTAGGGGGAGCCAGAGCTGGGAGGAGCTGTCTCCGTGGTGCCACCTGCCCCCGTCCCCATTGTGCTGCTGCCTCTAAAAAATGTATTGACTACACGATTAGTGGATTACCTGCCTCTTAACTTCCTTAGTTTGGCATCTCCCCTTCCCAAGAAAAAACACCAGGTTCAAAATGGATTCCAGTACCAGATGGCATGGTCACATGTCTAACACCAATTGCATTTTGGGCTTACAGGACAAACAAGGCCATTCACAAGGTATTGTTTTGAGTATGGAATCATTAAGTACCTGACATATGACTAATGGTCCTCATGGACACATTTAAAACTATAAATAGATTCCTATTTCTAACTTCACATACAAGAATGATACATTCATAAAAATAGGATATACAGATTAAGCAGATTGTAACATTAAAATTGATAGGTTACATGAGGTATTTTTTCTAAAGTGTCTTCGAGTTATGCATATTCACATTCACAACCCAATTCAAAGGGACTGTCACAAGTAATTAAACAGTTTTCAGCTGCATGCTCTCCATGCACTGAGACCCTGGTGAAATTTTGAGATCATACTTGTCTCTAACTGAACCCAAGTTCACACCATCTAGCACTGTAAAAATGTTTGGATTTTTGGTGATTATGTTTCCTCAAAGGTCCAACTGCTAGATCTCCACATAACATCAACCATAGAGTTTGATACAACAAAGAATGAAGGCCAACATCAGCCCTTCCTACTTCACCCCCCAAAAAGTATAGATGCTCTCTGAGGGAAGGAGGATGTTTCCATACTTGCTCTAGACACACTATAGAGATGGTTCCTATCCTTTAATATATTGCTCTTTTTTCAGAAATTCAAGAATGTGTGCCTCTCTGTACTTGGACCTACCCATATACTCTAGGATATACAATACAGTCCTGTTTATTCAAATTCCCTTATCCAAAAGGACTAATCATTCACATTTACAGTATGTCTCCCCTGTGTCCTCTGTTCATTAATTACCTACTAATAACTTCTTAATTATTCTCTAAAGCTAATCCTTAGAAAGATGGTGCTTTGCTCTAACAGATGCTACAGGAAGCCACTATACCTGTGAAACTGTGGCTCAAAAGACCACTTCTACTTATCCAGATACCCAGTTATCCAAAAGAGTTGTATATCCTCCAGGCCATTTGGATAAACAGGAGCATAATGTCATTATTTAGGAGGCGCCGGCATCATCTTGGCACTGAGATATGATTTTTCAGAGGAATCTTTGACTGGGCAATACATTTTCCATTACACTGGAGTAACCTAATTCATTCAAACATTTCTTGAAGACCTAGTTCTATGGCACTGCTTGGTCGATGGCAGTAGTGGAAACACCTCAATCAAGGACTTAAGCTGTTTTATTCATTTAGAGGATGAGTTTGAGCTTATGATGCCAGACCGACACCCCCCCCCCCTCCCCCCCACCCCCCCACGCCACCCACAGATGTCTGTATACAGGGCAGAGAAGGAACAATACAAAAATCATCATAGCCATTAAGCTTTGATCTGCTTTGATGCGAGATCAGGATATGCGAGTGTTCTCTGACTCTGAGTAACGATTAAGGCAATAAACTGAGCTCGAGGCTGCAAGAAGGGCCCAGCTGGCACCCATGTTGATTCAAACACATATAGTCCCTGGGAGAGGAATTTCCCACTGAGAAAAAAAGAATGCCCACTCCTTCCAATTTAATCCTCTCTACTCTCTCTTACAAGTGTAAATTAAGTTCACAACTCCCTTGTAAGAACTGGTCTCACAAAAGACAGACCAGCACCATTTGGCATCACAGATAAGAAAGAGAAATACGTGACCCACTGGGTATAAAGGTGGGTACAGCAGCGCACTCACTTTTGAGTGTCAATCTACCCTCTACCTGCTGGTCGGGTTAGGTGTTTTGACCTCCCGAGGTTCCACGGGGATGCCCACCTCGTATTTTCATCTTTCCAAGGAATTGAGGGACCGATCCTGGCCTGACACACTGGGACCGAGCGACGCAGAAGGGGGTAAAAATTGTACCCGTATGTGTCCTTTTGCTTTAGTGCATGCATAGAATAGAGCTTTTTAAAGATTAAGCTGTCATTTGGTACCATTATTCTCTATTTTCTATCTTTATTTTCTTTGTAACCATTTTTTTTAAGATCTAGATAGATAGATAGATACACATATGCACATATACACACATATATATTTGCCAGCAGTTAAGAAACAGAACAATAGCTATTGCAATCATATGATTTATAAGCTTCCTCAATAAACCTGTAACTGTTTAAGCTTTAACCTGACTCCTTCAGTTGCTGTAACAGAACCAGGCACAATTTAAAAGAATTTCAGCCGGTCTTAAGGGACAGATATAGGGAGAGCTTGGGCGTTTGGATTTGTGTCACTCCCGGGTGGCAGATCCACTGGGGCACCTTTCAGTCTTTCCCTAAGGCTGCCCGCTGCGAAGGAATTATGAATTCTAGCAGCTGAAATCTAAGGTGTTATAAGCTCTCCCTGTAAACTCACTGGGTGCCCGTCAACCTCCTCCAGGTTGTCCGCTGCAAGGGATTCCGGTCCCAGCAGTTGAAGTCCTGGGTGTATAGCACATACACACTGCCCTGACCATCAGCTGACAGCTTATTGTCCTAATAATTTGTTATTTTATTTTAGATTGGCAAAGGAAATAATAGCTGTTTTACCATGTCTCATTCCAATTTTTGTTCTCTGTAAATGTGTTACAGTTCCTACTATTGCCAGATACTTTCACAAAAAACATCCCAAACATGGCATGGAAAAAAATTGCTTGAGCAAAACAAAAACAAAACAAAACGGGGGACCAAAGTTGTTGAGCAAAAAAAATCACTGGACCTTTAAATACCCACACTCCCCCCACCAGCTACAGCAGGGGAAGAATGTGTGTCCAGTATTTTCTGGTTTTTTTTACTGGACAGGTGCCATAAATACCAGAGTATCCAGGAGAAAACCAGACACCTAGAAACCCTAGTTCTTTCATTGGCAAAGAGATTCAATATGAGAGCAATATTTACTTTAAATTATATTTGACCCAAGAAATACAAATACAGTTTGACATTTTGTAGTACCTGTTTTCCAGCATTAATTTAAAGTTGATATTAGAGCCATTAAAATCATTATTTGACACATTTTAAAAGCATTGCCTATGCCAACTTAATATGTTGTATGTTTTATCAAGTTAACAGTAATGAAAAACAAATGCATGGCATAAAAGCTACTGAAATTTCCCAAATATTTATGCCTGCCTTGCTGATCTGCAAGAACTTTGTTTTCTAAACCCCATCACTGAAAATAACATCAACAGAAATAAAGTTACAATTTGTGGGGTGCCCACCTAGGGCAACAATACACGGTACAGCAGAGGGGCCAACAGACTTGCTGGAGCCCTGGACAAGGTGAGCATGGGGCAGAGCCTGGGTGGAAGGGGTGGGGCTGAGGCAGCCCTCAGTACTGTGCAGAGCATACTGTGCCCACCCCAGCCAGCCCTCACAGCTTCCCAGAATGCACCACATGGCACTATAGCAGCAATTTATTGGGCCCAGGTCTCCAACTACCAGAACTCCTGTGGTAGCAGGGTAGGGGGAGGTCAAGAACCATGGGCCTTTATGAGTCACTGGGCCCCAGAGCAACTGCCCCCTCTAACTCTTCCCCTCCCCCACTGTTCAGCAAAGAGAGATTACCTTTGATTTTTAACAACAGATAATGTGTTTCTTTCAGAGGAATGACAACACATTTTGCTGCATATGTTTATCACCTGTCCCTTAAAGGAAGGAGCTAAGGACTAACTTACAAGTTCTGACTCCCTAAATCTATACTAGGGCTTAACTTCCAATCGTAACTGTTTTGAGCAAAACAGATGCCAGGACCAAAACAAGACAAAAGCAGGGATCCAATCCTGTATTTTTCATGGCGAAATTCTCCCATTATGCTCAAAAGGATCTGGACCTAAAGTTTTATTATTCTTATGGTGAGATATACAAATTCCAAACTGGGTCCAAAGGGATTAAAAAGGCACTACTGGGCTCAAGTGGCCCCACCCCCACCAGGCTTGCAGAGCATGCGCCAACTGGACGAGCAAGTTAAAAGGGAACCGATAAGTCCAGGCAAAGAGCGGTGGACAGCTACAGGAAAGATGAACCCCTCTCCTGAAAACCAGACACAAGTTTGAGCTTGTGAGGGAACCACAGAGGAGTAAGACTCCCTGCAATGCCTTCCCTAGCCACCACCACCCCCTCTCACAAATTATAGATCTTCCAGAACCCTGCTTCTTTGGATAATTTCTTTGAGTGACTCACTGGTTGCAGAAGAACCATTTGTCCCAGCAGCTCACCATCCAGCATCAGTGACAATTATTGTACTGAATGATGCCCACAACACCAGACTCGGGGCAGTACTGTCTCAAGAATTCAGAGGAGAAGAGCATCCCATCCTCTCTCAGTAGAAATTTGTTCCCTGGGAGGTGATAAACTCAGTCATCAAGAAAGAGTCACTGGCAGTAGAATGAGCTGTTGATGCCCTGCAACATTACTCATGGGGACAGCCCTTCTGCCTAGTATCAGACCATGCACCACTCCAATGGATGAACCTCATGAAAGACCACACCCTGCACATCACTCAGTGGTACCTCTTATTGAAACTGCATTCCATCATGCAAGCAAAGAAAAGAAAAAAGCCAATTTCTTTTCAAGAAACAGAGGAGATCTGGTTTAGCTCCCCACTACCACAACTCAGGAACTGAGGGAGAACCCCATGCTTGGCCTGAAGGGGTTGAAAGGCAATATTGAGATCAGAAGCGCCTCTTCCCGCCTACTCCCTTCAGTCTGCCAAGCATGTCTTGACTGGAGGAAGAGGTAAATCAGAAGCATAGGCAAAGGCTGGTGGACAGACTGGAGAGAGGAACCTTTCCCTAGGAAACAGCCAACAAGTTGAGCCTGAGAGAGGAATACAGACCAGGTAAGGCCCCCAATGCCTTCTCAATGTCTTTGAGAACTCATAGGTCCAGCAGGGCCATGCTCCTTTAAATTCCTTTTTTGTTGAGCAGCTAACTTGTTGGGAGTACAGGGGCCATGCTTTAAACCTGTGGTGTCAAACAAGCAAACCACTAGCCACATGTGGCTTTTGGCCAGTTGAGTGTAGGTACTTGGCTATAGCAGTACTGCTTCAGAACTGGTCGGATACTAGGGATGTGTCTAGACTGCATCCCTCTGTCGGCAGAGGGATGCAGATTAGGCAGGTCGACATTGCAAATGAGGCAGGGAGTTAAATATTCTTTGCATAAAAATGGCCACCACGTTTTGCCGACTCAGCACTTTGTTGGCAAAAAGCAGCAGTCTAGAGGGGGATCTGTGGAGAAAGAAAGCCTTTTTCAACAGATCCTGTAAACCTCCTTGCAGGAGGCATAAGGGATCTGTCGAAAAAGGCTTTCTTTCTCAACAGATCTCGCTCTAGACTGCCGCTTTTTGCCAACACTGTGCTGAGTTGGCAAAACGCAGCGGCCATTTTTATGCAAATTAGGCACGGGATAGTTAACTCCCTGCCTCCTTTGCAATGTTGACCTGCCTAATCTGCATCCCTCTGCTGACAGAGGGATGCAGTCTAGACATGCCCTATGGCTAGGGGCGGCCCGTGAGTCTAGGCCAACTCGGTGGTTGCCTAGGGCACTGCCTTCAACGGGGCGCCCGATGGTGATGTCACGGGGTGCCCAATGATTACATCACGCCATTGACAGCCATCCAGGCGGGGGCGCCAATCGCGCGTTCTGCCTGGGGCGCCAGCTGCTGCAGCCGGCCTTGGGCCACTCCTGCCTATGGCTCTAAACTTAAGGGACCTATTGATAGAAAGTAGCGCAGGGAAGCAAACTTGGATTAGCTGCAAAAAGGACCCTGATAACATTGCTTCCTATGGGGACGTAGGCGGGGACCAGCTGAGGAGAGGGTTTGGGTCCCCTTACAATACCCTCTTAGCATATCTCTACACTGCAACTAAAAGACTGCACAGCTGGCCCATTCCAGCTGACTCATGCTTGCTTGACTTGGGCTAAGAGGCTATTTAATTGCAATGTAGATGTTTGGACTCAGGCTGGAATCCACTGGAGCAGGCCAACCATGGAACTCCTATTGCAGTACAGCCACATCCATCCTGACGGAGGGGCAGCAAGGCAGAAGTTGGATGTGCTAACCACTAGGACACCTGGCCCTGTGAGCACCTATCATAATTCCCAACAAGGGAGGAATAACTGTAGAAACACAGCAGAAAAATAAATAAGCTTTGATAATTTAACTAGAAGTAATCTTAATGTTCGGAGCTCTGGTCTGTTGCCTTATTGACATCCGTTCCTGACATGACTCTACAACAGCACTATCTTCAGACAGAAATGCCTAGAAGACACAGGTCTGAGCATATTCTCTGTGGAAAATCTACATCAGTAAGCAATACTTCTCTTGTAAACATTTAAACCTATACTCAGATAAAATGTACATTTCCCAGGACTCTGAGAATTCAAGATCAAATTTAAGTCCCCAAACTCAAGCAGATACCTACCAGAATTTTGCTTACACTTCATATTTAATGTATATATACACCTCTCTCAGAGCTGGAAGGTACCTTAAGAGGTCACTGAGTATAGTCTCCTTCCCTCACGGCAGGACCAAGTACCTTCCCTGACAGATTTGCCCCAGATCCCTAAATGGCCCCCTCAAGGATTGAGCTCACAACCCTGGGTTTAGCAAGCCAATACTCAAACCACTGAGCTATCCCAGTTAACCAGATTGTAACATCCTAGTTTATCAATTAACCAGTTAAACTTTAGGTTTAACGGGTTAAGTGATTCCACACCTCACCCCCACATGTTGGGGCTGGCAGCAGGAGCCAGCAGCCCCATGCATAACAGGGTTGGCTCCCACTCCTGACCCTCCCATGCACAGATGGCCAGCTCCTGTTCCTGGCCTCCCCCACATGTGGGGTGGCCCTTCCAGCCCCCTTCTATGCAGGGGAGCTAGCTCTTGACCTCTCTGGGGCTGGAGTAGCCCTCTACCCCTAGTGGGCTATGGGTGGGAGGCTATTCCTGGGTACTGGTTAATCGGTACTTGGTAAGTGTCATCCAGTAAGGGTGATGCTTATTGGATAACCAGTTGACCGGTTATCCATTCACATCGCTACTTAGAATCCAGGATGTTTGGCTTTGTCTACAATGCTGAGTTTAACGTGACAGTATGGTCATGCCACAGATGCTGCGAAAGTCCTCTTACAGCATGGTATAAGTAGACCACCTCTGCGAGGGGAGTAGCTAACAGCACTGGGAGCCTGTCAACAAGACAGGCACTTTATAGTGCTGTAACCTGTTGTGCTTGGTGGGTGGGATTTCACACTCCTGAGCAAGAAAATTACAGCACAGTTAAGCGGCAGTGTAGACCAGCCCTTACACCTCACCCTCTTCCTGCAATGGAGAGAGTGAAAAAAATAGATGTTTACAGCTAGTTAAAGCAAAAGCATTAGAAATGTGATCACGGGGTAAGAAACATAGAAGCATACATATGTAAATATTTATAAACCCTTAGACTGTATAATTATGTGGGGAAAATATGTCTTTATGCACTTGAAATAAAGAGAATTACCCGTTCTTAAAAATCAAAAGGAGTCTGTATTATGTTTCAAGAAATAATGCCACATTCTCTTTCTGCATTTAGGAGCTCTCTCCTTAAAGTATCTATGATTTGCGCATGCCAAGTGCATTTGTCCTCATCCGAGACAAATCTGTATCATTTAATGAATCATCTGTTATCCAATCATTAGGCTTTAATGTTACATTACTTTACCAATTGCTGTAAAGGAAACTTCTCTTCTCAGGGTGTCTATCAGATTTAAGCCAGTTAGATTTAAGTCAGCTCTTCATATTCTTAGATTTTTATAGGCTTACAGGGGGATATGCTATAATATAGAATACACCTATGCCAACCCTTATCTGTGGACCTTTCAATGCATTTCTCAAGGACAAAGGCTCCTTAGAGCATACCTATGCATGATGAGATGAAGCAATGTAAAGAAATAATAGAATATCCCACTTTAACAAGGGGCTCCTGCAAGAACTTCAATGGGGTTCCAAAAGGATGCAATGGTTTGCCCGTGCTATGCCAGTTCCAGAATCAAAGGTATGAATCATCTCTTGCTCTTGTATGGAAAGGGCAAATGGTATACCTGACTTATCTTCTCTATACCATTCATTATTCTACATATCTCTGATTGCTCCTCCAACTGGAGTCCTCTCTGAACAGTCCCACTTCAATATCTGATATCTACTACCTTCACAGTTGGTAAGCAAGACACCAAACAGCACTCCTGGTCACCCCATAGCACCCCACTAGTGATAGCTGAATTTTTAACTTATCCTTAGCAAGCAGTGCTAAGTAATTACCAATTATTTTGAAATATGTTTCAGAATAATGAAACAGGACATTTTTTTCAAGTTTTTAAAATTTCAAGGTGTGACAGTATTTTCACAGGATTGTGTCCTCTTGATTAATCACCGTGCACTATGTAATTTTTCCAGTTTAGCTTCAAATCTTTTTTTACTGAAAGCAAGGACACCAATTCCATAAGTGTTGAAGTCATAGCTAGCTTTTTGCAGTTCCTTGATTCTGTCTGTTATAGTACTGATACTTACATCTAGAACCCAAGAAGTTTCAGCTATTTGTTTCATGTGAATATTTGCTTGCAAGAGGCAATCTATTTTATCACTGAACTTCTTGGATGAAAGGAAGAGCACTCGTGGATATCTAATAAATAATCTATCCACCTCTCTTTCAGTGCACCCAAGAGATAACAGTTTCTCTTTAGCAATTGTTAAGTTTTTTTTAATATATTCATTAGATAAGTCCAAAATGTCAGCTCCACAGCCATGTAGCAGAGATAGTAATTCCTCATTGCTCAGATGGAAAGAGGATTGCAGGAACTCAACGTTTGCTTTCACTTGCTTGCTGCTCCGCAGGAGAATTAAGACATTTTTAGAAATTACATGCTTCACAAAATCATTTGGGTTTTTACCACCTAAAGATAAACAGATCTCATGCAGGAGGTCAGCCATCTGAATGTTCAACTCCACTCTGTTAGAAAATGCCCGTGGTGCTCTGGTCAAGATATTGCAAAGGTCTTTAGAGGTTAGCTCAAGAGAACTGAAGAATGTAATATTTTTCTCCATATTGATGTTATTACAGGAACGAAAGAAGGACTCAGGGGAACGTGCCAGAATATTTACAATTTCCAAGTCAGTCATCAAAATACTTCTCCAAAGTTCCCAACGTTTTTCAAGAGACTCGTAGGAGCGTGTGATGGCTCGTGGATAACGTGAGATGATGCTGGCAATGATTTCATTAGTAGCCCCTTTGCTTTGCAGAAATTGTTCGAGGTCCTCTTCATTTGTAATCATCTTCTTCAGAACTCCAGGTTGTCTCCTTCTCACCATTTTAACATCCACTCCCATGCATGCCAGTTTGTTTATTAGGCTGCCATTCTCCTGGTAGGACTCTGCAGCAGCACTCTCTAACTTCAGACAGAAGTGCCTAAAAGACACTGGTCTGAACAGAATCTCTGCTGAAAATCTAGTCAGCCAGAAATAATTCATATTGAAAAGTAGTGAGTTTTTCGTCTGTAATAGCCCCCTGGCTGCCATAGGGATCAGCAACTGCAAGTATCTCTGCAATACAGTATATCCACTGTTTATCATCTGAAGGAAGAAAAACACAGCCATAATGCACAATTATTCAACTCTGAATGAAGAATATTTGTTTTTTAAATTGTTATAACTTAAAAATAAAAACATAACCTGCCCAAGTAGGAAAATCTAACTATTCGGTTAAAAGATATGGCTAAGCCCTCCCCCTTTAAAAATTAGCAAATTCAATATTCTGTCTAAAATTCGTTCATTTAAAATTCTGGAGGGAGGCACACAGAAGTGTACAGGGTTAGTACCATGAAACCAGAATAAAATGTTCAATTATATTAAAGGAGTAAAATTCAGGCTTCCATCTCTTGAGCATGGCACAGGCAGCTCAGATGGGAGGCTAGGATAGCTTTAAACCACCTTTGCCCTAGTTCTGGACTGCTGTGGTGTTCTACTCTGCTGAAAGTGTCCTCCCCTTCTGCCATAACTCAGGAAGCCCTGAAGGTCTGTTTGCACTATGGTAGACTCCCTGGGCAGCAGTACTGCTCAGAATTTCCCGCATGCCTCAGCACTCCTCTCCCTGCCACTGCGATTTCCCCAGGACAATGCCTTATCCATGGGTTTGAGAAGGGTCCTTGGAGGACAGTCTACAGCTGTCTCCTTCAGCTTTTGTTCCAAAGGAGCTCTTCTCCCAGGTGGATCTGGGGTCTTTTTACACTCCTGGGGTCCCTTTATTCAACACAGAAGAAGTAGGCACAGGAGTAAGAACCTCACTCATGGCAAATATTCAGCAAGAAAAGTTTTCATAACATTGATATCTTATGACATTCAACTCTGTCTCCTTTCATGATTGCCAACATCTGCAACTGTACTTCATGGCACAGTTCTCCAATCCCTGTGTGTATTCTGGTTAAATTCATATTGCGTTCTGGGTTGATCTACCGTATTTTTTTCCCTCTCACCCTCTCAGGGCAGTTAGGAGTTCCCCAGACACTTCTGGCTGTCAAGAAGGAACCCCGAGGGCTCCCTTTCAGATGTCATTGCAAAGGTCAGAGCTTCAGACACTGGAAGGAACAAGCATTTCAAATGCAGGAAAGAAAAATCTTTGGCATCACAATGCAATGGGGAACATTACCAAAAAACAGAGCTGTATTGATCATTCGAGGGAGTTGAGGCTAGTAGATTTTGTGACCCTTGCAGGAGGCATAAGGGATCTGTTGAAAAAGGCTTTTTCTTAACAGATCCCGCTCTAGATTGCCACTTTTTGCCAACAAAGTGCTGAGTCAGCAAAACACAGTGGCCATTTTCATGCAAATTAGGCACAGGATATTTAAATCCCTGCCTCATTTGCAATGTTGACCTGCCTAATCTGCATCCCTCTGCGGACAGATGCAGTCTAGACATATCCCTAGAGACAACTAAGCAAAAGGAAAAAGAGAAGAACCCTGCACCTAAGGTCCTATTTTAACAGTGTGAGTAGGCAGGAGAAGCACTAATGCCACCCCCTTAATCCTTTCACCCAGCTCTGAGAGCAGCCCACGGGCCTCTGTCAGTGTTCCCTATTGCACCATTGCTGCCAATTATGGAAAGGCAGATGTCTTTCAAAGGGCTGTTCTAACAAGGACAAGAGAAGTGCTGAGGCAGCCCTAGGAAAGATCAGAGCCTGGGTGGCTGGATTCAAGCAGCTGTCAAAACAGCCATAACCTACTTCCCTCCCACACACATCACAGTAGCCTAAACATTGCTCGTTCCTCCACATACCTGTTTTGGAGACGGTTAGAGTTTTCCAATCCTCTGCTAGCTCAAATGCCTCCTTCACTAATTCAGGGGCATCAAATCAAGATTTATGCAGCTGGACTTCCTCTTTTTAACTCCTCCAAAAGCCCCACCCCCCACCACAGTCGGTCATCTGAGAGGAGCTCTCAAATACTCCTTTGTAGCAGCAGCAGAACTTTTTAAAGGGACCTTAAATGTATGTATGTATATAACTTGCCATATTTTGGGCCGTAACTGGTCCTAAACCTCTTTTAAAAACAAAGTGAAGGTCATAGAACCTATTGAAGGTAACCACCTTTTAAAGAAAACTCTTCATTTCATAGCTACCCACACCTCCATAATTGCTTATCTGAGTTTTAAAAGATTACTAAGATGATCAGAGGAGATCATAAAAACTCAAAAGCAGAGTACCAGAAAGCAATAATAAAACAGTAATACTTTGTATACTTACCCAATGTCTTTTACTGAACACTCAAAAAGCTCTAAAAAGAAATTATGCCTCACCACACTGCTGTGAGATAAGTATTTTTACATCAGTTTTATATCTGAGTCATCTGATGTACAAACTGGATGATGGATTTGTTTAAGGCCATACAACAAATTAAAGGATAGCTATGAAAAGACTCCAGCAGTATAGTACTTACTTTTCATCCTGTACTTTCACAATTTGGTCCAAAACTTTCTTAGCAAAAAAATTTCACTCCTCCCCCTTCTTTCCTTTCTCTTTTCACTATTTCACTTCTCTTTCTCTTCCCCTTTTGATTTTGTCCGTCCATTTATTCCTTCTTAGATGGCATCAAGGTGGTTTTAATTTAAACTGCCATAAATAGTGGTTTTGATATCTGAATCTAATATAGTTAAACATATAAAAACGAATTTAGACTCTAGCATGACTCACCATTAATTGTAGTGGCTCAGCATTAAACCTTGAGTGTGTGCAAACAACCTATTGGTATTTCTCTTTACCTAGGTCGCAATCCTTTTCCACTCACTGCAGTAGGAAGAAAAAATGTAAATCAAACGGTCAGACAAAGTTACATAAATTAACAATCCAAGTCAGTCCTTAAAACAACAGTAAATATGAAGTCACTAGCTCAAGCAGTAGCTTGTGAGCCTCTGTTACATGGAACAAGATCATCACATTATAGTCTGGGCCCACACAAGGGGCAATGAACTGTTTTGTTGCCTGTGGAGTAGCCCTGTAGCCAGGGCTGATTATTTGTGGGGCCTAGTTCAAATGATGCGCTGTGGCCTGGGATGCCACACACCGGTTCCGGGGCTCCAACTCTGCTCGTGCGGGATTGCACCAGCTGCTCCTTCAGTAGCAGAGAGCTCCTGGGACACCCTCACCACTGGCACCTGCAGCAGCCTCTACCTCTTTTCCCACAGGCAGGGAGCCCCGCGGCCTGCCATGCAAAGCTGGCACCTTCAGGGTGCACCTCAAGTAGGACAGACGGTAGGGATGTCAACGTACAGTTGATTATACAATTAACCAATAACCCTGGGCTTATCGGTTAATCCTAGTGACTACATGCTCTTCCCCTCCCGCCCCCACCTTGCTGCCTCTGATACAGAGGCAATGGGGGAGAGGAGGCAGGCAGGCACCAGTGTTCACATGGAGCTGGCTTTTAAGCCAGCTCCCCACGAGCACCAGCTCACACCTGCTCCTACTTGCCACCCCTCGTGTAAATATGTAACCTCTAAAATTTCCAGCAGTTACAAGTTTACTCAGATACCTGATAGGGATATTAACGAACAGGCAGGGCCAATAACAAAGCATGGGGCCATGTGTGGGGGAACAGAATGCACACACCTCTCGCTGGCCCTACCCTAAATCTTGCCAGCAGCAAGATTCAGAAATGATTAGACAATTAGAAAACATGCTTTATAGTGATGGATTCAAAAACTTAATCTATTTATCTTAAAAAAGAGAAGGGTAAAAGGTATTGATTATAGTCCATAATTATCTACACAGGTAACAAATGGGTGGAATTTGAAACTAGATACATTCAGACTGGAAATAAGGTGTACATTTTCAATGAAAGTCATTAACCATTGGAATAATTTACAAAGGGTCAAGATGGATTCCCCATCACTGAATTTTTAAATCAAGCTTGGCTTGTTTTTCTCTAAAATACATGCTCTAGGAATTATTTTGGGGAAGTTCTGTGGCTGTATTGTACAAAAGGTAAGACTAGATAATCACAGTGACCTCTTCTCACCTTAGAATATATCACGATGTAGTGGCTCTTGAAATGTGCTCATAGTCATGCTACAAGATTTTTTATTCCTTCTTACTTGTGTGTGCCAACACACAGGCCAGGCTATAATATGGTTCATAAAATCGGTTTTATAAGAAACCCACATTAATACATAATAAGTTTACAGTAACAACAGAATATAGCTTTAAGAATCAGACCCAAAGTCTATTGGACTCAAATGGAGTTTTTCCCCTGACTTTAGTGGGCCTGAGATCAGACCCCATGTTTCTACCAACATGTGAAATACAGGTGCACTTTGAATCTGAGTCTGCTATAAAATGTTTTCTTGTTCATTTGGACAATAGTACGGTAGCCAAATCCCAGAGTTCCTTAGATAAATGTTGATGAGAATCTTTCTGTTCTATTGAGAAATTTTCCATTAAAAATTCATTAGAGGCTCTGTCACTTCTATATTCCAATATTATTATAGCAGTGAATGAAGATCAGATACAGAACTGTAACTAATGATTACATTTCTCATTTAACTGAGAGAAATTATCTTGGAAGGAAAGTCATAAGGATGACCTCCAATGGATAACAATCTCCACACACCTCTGCAACAAAGGAATATAATAAAATTTTATTTATTAGTAAAATGTATTTACAAGTAAAATTTTCAGGCTAACAGATTTATTTGTAGTTCTTTCAGCAATTGTGCTATAAATAAAAATAAATATTCTATTATAGCCTGTATTTTTCAACCATGTAGCAATCCACCAAACCCCAGAACATATAACAGACAGTGTTCCCCTAGCAGTTAACTATCAAAAGATCATTTTCAGGGATAGAGAATTTGCCACAGCATATCAGACCATGCGTGTATCAAAATCCAATATGGTAGCACCAGAGAATATCTGTCACTTAAAAGGAGGGCAGCCACGACTTATTCTCATCCATATCCAGACCCACTGAACCTGTGGAGAAATACATTCCTTATCCATGTTCTGATCAGCTGATGCAATGAAACAAGATTTGGCAATCTGTATCTTAGTATGAAGCAAAATGCAGGACTATGTAGCACTTTAAAGACTAACAAGATGGTTTATTAGATGATGAGCTTTCATGGGCCAGACCCACTTCCTCAGATCAAATAGTGGAAGAAAATAGTCACAACCATATATACCAAAGGATACAATTAAAAAAAATGAACACATATGAAAAGGACAAATCACATTTCAGAACAGAAGGGGGATACGGGGGAGGAGGAAGGTAAATGTCTGTGAGTTAATGATATTAGAGGTGGGGAATAATGGTATTAGAGGTGATAATCGGGGAAGCTATCTTGGTAATGGGTAAGATAGTTTGAGCGTTTCAATCCGCACCCCCGGAGAGTGTCGAATTTTAACATGAATGACAGTTCAGAGGATTCCCTTTCAAGTGCAGATGACATTGTTCTTTTACCCTTTTTACACCCTGCACTTAAACTGCTATCATTTACATTAGTAATTCACATTGCAAGACATGCAGAGGACACCTAAATAACTAGACACTCACCTAGCTTAAAAAGATCACTTCTCGCATTTAACATGATTTTAAAATAAAAATACAAAATTACTAGATTTGTTTTACTAGATTTGAATTTGTAATAAAGTTACAATGCCTCACGTGTGCTAATGAGATAATTAAGTTTGTTTCTAGTTCCAGAACCTTAACAATGATGGTTAGAAAAGATTAATACTCCCATCACATGATATGAGTCAGTGTGTTATATTAGTGATAGAGATGTAGCCGTGTTAGTCTGGGGTAGTTGAAGCAAAATGCAGGACAATGTAGCACTTTAAATACTAACAAGATGGTTTATTAGATGATGAGCTTTCGTGGGCCAGACCCACTTCCTCAGATCAAATAGTGGAAGAAAATAGTCACAACCATATATACCAAAGGATACAATTAAAAAAAATGAACACATATGAAAAGGACAATATGTTCATTTTTTTTTTAATTGTATCCTTTGGTATATATGGTTGTGACTATTTTCTTCCACTATTTGATCTGAGGAAGTGGGTCTGGCCCACGAAAGCTCATCATCTAATAAACCATCTCGTTAGTCTTTAAAGTGCTACATAGTCCTGCATTTTGCTTCAGCTACACCAGACTAACGCGGCTACATTTCTATTACTGTATCTTAGTATGGCGTTTTTAGGATGCCACTCAGCAAATACCTATTACTTAAAATTGAACTACCAAGTACTGATGGGATAAAAATGTATTGTGCAGGTACCTAATTGTGCTGGCTATCATTTTGATACAATTTAAAAATAACTGATCACATCAAACTTGGGTGGGACATAAGGCTGGGGGGGGTGGGAGAGAGAGGATTGCAAACACTGTGTAGGACAGAATTAAAATTCAAAGGGATCTTGATAAATTCAGCTATAGACAACAAAATGAAATTTAACAAAGACAAATATAAAAAGCTACACTTAGTGAAGAAAAACCAAATGCACAAATACAGAAGGGGGGGGGGGAATTCCTGGGTTGACAGCAGAACTACTGAGAAGATTCTGGGGCTAAGGTTTTTGCTCAAGAAATCTTTTGCGGAAGAGTTCCTGCGCAAAAACTTCTTATGCAAAAGCACGTTCACACCTCAAAGCGCATCGCTTTTGCAATGTGCTTTTGCGCAAGAGAGCGTCCACACTGCATGGATGCTCTTGCACAAGAAAGTTCTGATTGCCATTCACAGAATGGCCATCAGAGCGCCTGTGCTTTTTCGGATAGGCTCTTTTTTTGCAAGAAACCCCTGCGGAGTGTCCATACATGCCTTTTTGTGCAAGAGCTGTAGCACAAAAAGGAGTTATGCCTCATAGAAGGAGGCATACCTACACTGCAAAAAGCCCTCTGTTCTGTCAATTGACTGTAGATTTTCTTGCGCAAAAATGCGCTTGAGGTGTAGATGCTCCGCGGGTTTTTGCACAAAAACCTTGTAGTATAGACGTAGCCTGGGAGTTGTATGTGAATCACAACCTCAACATAAGTCAGTAATTTAATGCTGTTTAAAAAGTTTTGGTTGCATTAATAGAGGCACAGCATGCAAGTCATGGGACCCGATAGTACCACTTTACTCAGTGCTGGTTAGCCCTCAACTGGAGTACTCTGTCCAATTTTCATCAACTCTGTATAGAAAGAATGTAAAGAAACTGGAAAAGAGCCAGAGACGAGTAACAAATATGATAAAAGGGATGGGAAAAAAGCCATATTAGCAAAAGCTGAAATTGGGTATGTTTAGACTGGAAAGGGGAGATTAAGGGAGGACACGATAGCAGTCTTCAAATACTTGAAAAGTTGCCATAAAAAAATTTAAAAAAAGAACAAAAAGAAGAAAATTTCTTGCCAGAGAAGTGCAGGACAAGAAACAATGGATTCAAACTACAGCATAGCAGATTTAGATTAAATCTCAGGAGAAACTTCCTGAATGGAAGACAATAGAACAATGGAACAGACTGCTTCTTCATTGGAAAAACAACAAGGATTCATGAGTTGTATTCCACAAAAGCTTATGCCCTATGTCCTAATAAGTGTATTAGTCTTTAAAGTGCCACTGGTTTCCTTGTAGTTTTGCTGAAACAAACAGACTAACACCACTACCCCTGTGAATTCTTCATTTGAGATTTTCAAAAGGAGGATGGATAACCATCTGTCTTGGAGGGTTTAGACACAACAAATCCTACATCTTGGTAAGGGGTTACATTAGCTAACCCTTGCAGCCTCTTCTAACCCTATCATCCTATGATCCTATCCACAAGGGCTAAGCAGCTATGTGTTGAAGATCAACTTACCAAGAAACAGCTTTAATTTTTATCCTGTGATACATAATTTATTAAAATCGGTTATGTCTTGCAGCACCAAATAATTGATCCAATTTAGAAACAGAAATGTATAGTAAGTGCATATGAAATGTGATTTAATTTCAGGAATTAAAATGTAATAATAATTACAGCAAAGTTTATTTTACAAGGGATGCTCAATCACAATACCACTTTATTAAAGAGGAGTATGTTATGCCTAGTACAAATTTACTGAATTATAGTTTTAGTACAATACTACTCAGCTGTGCCAGTCAGCAGCAGGGATCCAGTGTGCTGCACAGTCTAAGAGGCAGTTTCTGTCCTGAAGGACTTGCAATCAAAGATCCTGGACCTGGAAACAGCTGCTAACAAGTGCCCCTTTTATAGATTATGCCTTTTTAAAATATTTCCTGTCCCTAAAAACATGCATTTTGTCTGCCCTGACTCGTATGATAAGAGAAGAAGAACTTTCTTCCAAAACAACAAGGGACATACCATTGCACAGCTCATTTCTTTTTAAAAACATTCTAAGCAATAATTCTCCCTCTCCCTTCAACGTCCCCTAACTAAGCATCATCCATTGGGATACTTATTTCACATTGCTCAGCATGAGATCTTTGCCAATACACACAAGATCTAGTCAAATTTCAAGCAAAAATTCAGACTAATGAGTACAGTTGAGTATCTTTAGAAACCCTATTAGAAGGACAAAGTTAATATATAATTGATCTAAACCCTCTTGGTGGCATTCAGCATAACAGAATCAATCCTCAAATTGCTCGCCCGTAAGACCACTTTGACTTCCCTTTAGTTTTCCTAACTATTCCTACTGGACAAAGCAAATATTTTCATTTTTAAATACCTTGTGCTTTCAGTGCATACTAGCTATCTTCTTTTAATTAAATAATTTCACAGCAGTTTCCCTATATTTCTTGTTTCAGCTTTGCAATTTGCATACTAATAGCAGTCACATGAAAAGCGCTATAGCCAAGATGTATGGTGTTTTTCGTTCTGTAAGACTGAAAAAAAACCCTGCATCTTTCCTTAGGAACCGGTGTTGTCAGACTAAAACATAGAACTTACCATGCCGCTGCGGTTCGGAGCTTTCTTCCTCATCGCAGGTTAAAGTTGAAAGCTAACAAGGAGAGAACAACAGTCAAAGCTAGTAAAGAATAACACTTCATATTTAAAAGGATTTGGTTTTCGTTTTAGTGCTGCCACCTACCAGATCCCTGTTTTCACTCACTTTAGTTAAAGTGAATTGCTGCACCAGGAGGTGGCAGTACAAGATAACATAACCATGTAATTTCTGAAGCGGTATGGAGGAGGGAATCATCCACGCAGGATTCATTGTGAATGCAGCCGTTTACAACTTAATTTTTTTATCCTGAGGATCAATGTCTTAAGGAACTCTCAGAGGGATAGCCGTTTTTGTGTGTATCTGCAAAAACAACAAGAAGTTCTGTGGCCGCTCTAGGAGTAATGGATTTAAGTTGGACTTAAGCTTTCAAGGGTAAAATCCACTTTGTCAGATTCACAAAGTGGGTTTTACTCACAAAAGCTTATGCCCAAATAAATCTTTTAGTCTCTAAGGTGCCACAGAACTCTAGTTGTTTTAAAGGAACTCTTGAACCCTTTTTACTTAAAACATATGTGGGCTATTACTAAGACATGTTACAACTACATGTAAATAAATTGTGTTGATTATTCATTAATTTTAGGTTTTATAAGAAAATGGAAGACTACTTGTTTATAAAGCATATTTAGACTTGATCCTTATACAGGCTTTCTGTCATATAATTAGAGGTATCTCAGAAAACAGAGAGATCTTAATGGCAGTGTCCTAATTGGTCAATTAGTATATACAACAAAAATATCCTTCATAAATATAGACTTAAAATTAAAGGCAGTGTAAGCAGATGCAGCTTGCAACTCTGTTGCTTTCAGAAGGGTTCCATACATTTATTTGAGTCTGATTTTGGTTCTCGATGTTTTTATGGAGAGTGTACAAAAGAAAGTGGACTAACAACCTTCACAATGACAGATATCTGAATCGTATCCAAGTGAGTCTTAAAAATGCATGTGAAATATGGAGCAGAGACATTGCCATTGATCTTCATATAGCACCATCACATTGCTTCCCGGAGTAATAGTTTCATTAAATGGATGGGTGAGGATTCTAACATTTTGGAAGGATATAGTAGAGGTTTTCAAAATCATGACTGGTGTGAAGAAAGTAAATAAGGAAAAGTTATTTACCTGTTCCCAAATGAAATTAACAGGTAGAAGGTTTAAAATAAACAAAAGGAAGAATTTCTTCACATAACACAGAGTCAACCTGTGGAACTCCTTGCCAGAGGATATTGTGAAGACCAGGACTTTAACAGGATTAAAAAAAGATCTAGATAAATTCATGGAAATGAAATTCATGGAAACTAGATTCATCAACAGCTATTAGGATGGGTAGGAATGGCCATCTGTTTGCGAGAAGCTAGAAATAGGTGACAGGGAGGGATCACTCAATGATTACCTGTTTTGTTCATTCCCTCTGAAGCACCTGGCATTAGTTACTGTTGGAATACAGGATACTGGGCTAGATGGAGCTTTGCTCTGACCCAGTATGGCCAGTCTTATGTTCTTATGTCTCTTACATTATTTATTAAGATTGCCACATGACCGGGGTTTTCCAGGATTGTTATTTTTTGAGGTAGCTTTCCCAGGAAACCTATAAGGGTGCTCAAACACAATACACTGTCCAATTTTATGGGCTTGTGATCATCCTGGATGGCAACCCAGTGCATTGTTGTCAACACATTCACATTGAGTACCAATTTTTAAAAACAAATTCAGCTAAAATAAAGGTATTTTATTATTTAATTTTAGCATAAAGATAGATCCAATGTGTCAATTTTTTATCAGAGCAGTAAAGTGTAGCAGTTTATTAGGATTAATCTTGACCCCAGTGCCTACCCAGATAACTAACCTTGGTACATATGGGCAGCTGTCTATAGCTGCTGTTTCCCCCTCAGGACTGCAGTAGCCTGAGAGGTCCATATGGGGAAAATGACTGATGAATACCCACACTGCTTGGCCACTGATCCACTCACTTCTTCTCTGACCCATTCCCTAAGTACCTAAGTTAAGCTTTGGATTCTTAACCAAATACCTACCAGTTCCTATTGGACTAATAGAGGATGGCATGTAAAGCCTTATCCTTTACATGTAATAATTTAATTCTGAAAAAAACAGAGCTCTCCATAGAATGCACTGCTTTAGGACCGACTAATTCTCATAATGAAAGTAATTCTATTCTCTGATATATTTTCGGACAGTCTGACACATGACAGTCTTCTCCATTTCAGCACCTACAAAATTTACTAAGGGTGCATCTACACTGCACCGTTATTTCAGAACAACAGCCATGCGTCTACAATGCAAGCATCTATACAGCAATTCCAATATTTTGAAATAACATTGAAATAATGGATGGCTTATTCCAACTTCTGTAAACCTCATTCCACAAGGAATAACTTCTCTTCCTAAATAGCTATTTTGATAGGGTATGTGTGGATGCTCCACTGCTACTATTTTGAAATAGCTCCTCACCAGGGCCATTCTAAGTAATTTCTCCTTAGTGCTTCCTGGGGCTTTAATTCGAGGTAGTGCATCTGCATTAGGGAAGCCTGCCTCAGACTAATTTTGAGACTTCCCTGTAGTGTAGACATGCTATTTCAAAATAAGCGTGCAATGTAGATGTACCCTAAGAGTCATTGTTCAGGAATTCTAGCTTTTCTGGATTTCACTGCCATGGGTACGAATTCTAGGTGACGTAATTTCTCTTCTCACTGGAGCTGGATTTAAGGGTAAATGACCGTTCTTGGGGGTGGGCTTGGGAGGTGTCGGGCCCAGAATGCTGCTTTTGTGGGTAGCAACAAAAAGGAAAATAGAAGTAAAATGTTTCAGTTATTCCATATGTGGATCCATTTTTCTAGAGTGTCCATATTTCCCTATAGTAATAGAGATGTAGTCGTGTTAGTCTAGTCTTACTGAAACAAAAGACAGGACTATGCAGCACTTTAAAGACTAACAAGATGATTTATTAGGGGATGAACTTTCGTGGGCCAGACCTACTTCCTCAAATCAAATTGTTGAAGAAAATTGGCATGACCATATATACCAAAGGGATACAATCAAAAAAAGAGAACACATAAAATTGACAAATCATATTTTAGAACAGAGGGGTGGGAGGACAAGTAGTGAGAGGGGAAGGTTAGTGTCTGTGAGATACAGATATTAGGGGTGATAATTGGGGAAGCTGTCTTTGTAATGGGTGAGATAATTAGCATCTTTGTTAAGGCCCATAAGTAAAGTGTCAAATTTAAGCATGAATGACAGTTCTGAGGCTTCTTTTTGAAGTCTGGAATTAAAATCTCTTTGAAGCAATATGCATGTTTTAAGGTCACTGAGAGAATGGTCAGTCTGGTTAAAATGGAAAGCATCCGTTTTCTCTCTGTGAAAGACCCTGATGTCTGTTTTATGTGTATTCGAGAGAAGTCTGAGGGGTACATCAACACAACTGAAATTTGGAGAAAACTGAATTTTTGTTTTAAGTTTTACAGCATTTTATTATGTTTGTACTTTTTACACCCAAAAATTTCATCACCCACCCAGTGTCTATGAGATAATGATATTAGGGGTGATAATTGGGGAAGCTATCTTTGTAATGGGTAAGGTAGTTAGCATCTCTGTTAAGATGCATTCGTAAAGTGTCAAATTTAACATGAATGACAGTTCTGAGGTTTCCCGTTGTATTCTGGTGTTAAAGTCTCTGAAGCAGGATGCATGTAGTTAGGTCATTGAGACAATGCCCAGTCTGGTTGAAATGACAAAAAACTTTTTTCTTTGTGAAACTGTCTGATGTCTGATTTGTGTGCATTGATTCTTTGGCAAAGTATCTGAGAAGTTTGTCTATTTGTATTTCCCTATGTTGAGTATGGGACATCTAGTAAAATTACTCGTATTCAGGCTAGTTAAATGGCAGTCAGACAGAACTGTGCAATACAAACGGTCAAATTAGTATCAAGTTGACTGAGTCCCTGTTAAACACAAATAATGTGTAGCTGGATTCTTTGTATTTATCTTCAAAGCTTTAGGGTTCACATGGGGAGAAGGACACACACACATTCCTGTACACCTCTCTCAAACTGCAGGGTGACTGACCGACACAACCCTCTCTGGCCTCCATTCTCCAGCCAGAGTGGGCCCTCAAGACAGACCCACCTGTCCTGGTACCTCGATCCTTCTCTTCCCAAGGCAACACATGGGAGCATGCAGGGTCACTAAGAAGGGATGCACTCCACTGGGGAGGGGGGGAAATATGGAGGAGCTGTACACCTCTCTCAAACTGCAGGGTGACTGACCGACACAACCCTCTCTGGCCTCCATTCTCCAGCCAGAGTGGGCCCTCAAGACAGACCCACCTGTCCTGGTACCTCGATCCTTCTCTTCCCAAGGCAACACATGGGAGCATGCAGGGTCACTAAGAAGGGATGCACTCCACTGGGGAGGGGGGGAAATATGGAGGAGCAATAGGGAAAGGACAGCAAGAAGGGGAGCATGTAAAGGACTGATGGGTGGGCAGCAGAGACAGCAAGTAATTGGCTGTCATCTGGCTCCTGCTCACACTCAGCAGCCACTGCTGCTCACAGTGCACAGTCAGTGCCTATCAGAAATGGGGGACTGGGTGGGGCCCTGCTGGCTAAGGGTGGACATGCAGCAGGGGCTACATTGGTGCAGCATGGGAAAAGTGGGACCCATGTGCTGCAGCTTTGACATGCCACCAGCCTTCCATGCCCACCTCTATCACCACCCACTGGACCCCCTACTCACCACTGGCAAGCAGGGATCTGGCCAGCAGGACCTGCCACTACTTTTGAAGAGAGAGACAAATTGTCCCATATTTTCTATGTTTTAAAGAAAAACTCCCAACACTTGCAAAAGGGCTTAAATATAGTACTGTCCCTTTAAAAACTAGGATGCCTGGTCACCCTAATTTTTCCATTAACCTCCTAGAATGTTCTGAATGTTTATACAATCTCATGGAATCTTGAAATGGTACTCAGAAGCTTAACAAATGGAGATGGGACCACCAATGATTTTACTTGCCAGGGGT